ATATATATATAATATATATATATATATATTGTAGTGTCCGTGCACTACAACTTCTCCCCCCCCCTCGCTTGTGGTTGCTACGCCAGATTGCGTTGCTACCATCTCCTTGGGCCTCTTGTCCTCCTTCTACGCGTTTTTATTGCAGTGCAGAAGCTCTGCAAGACCGAAGTTTCCCCTGCCTCTTCGAAGACTACGTGACTTCGTGCAGCCTCATCTTGTTGACAGAGCTGTTCCCGCGGTAACTGGGACGCTGCCTCACGCCCAAGGCGGTCATCCTGCCCTCTAGCTGACTCAGGGGAGGCGGAAATAGCTCTATCGGCGTTGTCACCAATCTCCTCCAGTTGTGGGTGCAGCAGATGCACTTGCTGCAGCCAGCGCTCCTCGGCACCGGCGTCTTCAAGGTGTTCGGCAGTGGAAAAGGGGAAGGGGATGCCCCACCGTTTCCTTGTTGTGGTCCCTCGGTGCCGCTATTGCGGCTTAATGAGCCAACGCCTCTTGTTAATGCAATGGCATCATCAGCAACACCATCTCCTCCCTCCCGTACGCAGCCATCAGCCCCCCCGTCCTTGATGCCCCCACCATCCATCATCCCCGCGGTTGGCAATCTTTAGCGTGGTGTTCCATACATCCACACCTCCTACACATTTCCCATATTCGTTGTAGGGGCTCACTTCTCGAGGGGCATTTACGTGAGGTGTTTCCCCTGCCCCCACATCCCGAACAGGTAATTTCTTTGGCTTCTTGGTGCATGCATGCGTAAGGCTTCCCCTACTTCTTAGGGCTAAATCCTTGCTTATACCTCTTCTCTTACACTTCGTCCTGAAGCTCCCTCAGAAGGTGCTGTACGTCATCCAGCATTTCATCTATCACTCGCATGATAGATATCACGGTTTCAGCAAGTTCTTCAAAGGTCTGGAAACCTGTCTAACATCTTCAGAACCAGGAAAAAGTTTGTTTGCCACGAAATATGCTTACACGATCGTTTGGAGGCAAAGACTGCTCTTGTCTTGGGGCCATGCGAAGTCTGCAGCATACATCATGGGCTCATCTTCGTACCTAACCGGTTCTGGTCTTGCCTTCAGCGCCCCTAGTGACATCCCACAGAATCTAAGGTTCATTTCCTGCTTTACACGGTCCCAGTCCGCCACGTCAGTGTAGTAAAGCTGATGTGCTTGCATGCGATTAGTAGTTTAATGCCTTCCTAGTCCAGTAAGTACTCATCTTGATTCCCCATCTCCTGAGGGATTCTCCGGATTCATTTTATACCATCTGCAATAAGCGCAGGAAATTAACTCCCGGGAGCAATACCCTCATGAGTTTCCGCCTCTGGTCTTATATATGGGGACGCGGGGACCGTGTATCATCTTCGGAAGTGCAGCCTGGGTATTGCCTTCCTGAGAGTGCTCCATGTGACTGTGTGCGCGGTAACGCTTTGGGTTCCACTAAGTGTGTCGCTCTGTTGAAGAAGGTTCTTCTTCGTTGCGAGTTAATATTTCACGTTCTGCCTCGTATCTGGGTGTTCTCCCTTCCCCAGGGGCCTGCTTCCTGTGTGTGAATGTCTGCTTCCCGTTGAGTAGTCACATATGCGCGCGCGGCTGGCAACTTAGCTGCGGCAAAAAAAACTGCTCAGCGGCACCCGCAGTCATAGGCTGAACCTGGGGTATAGGAAAAGAGAACTAAAACAGTTATGTCTGGCTTTGACTCTTGAAATGTGGGTCAGTTCCTCAGTTTCCCAGCCCGTCCCACGGTCGCGATGGGCTGTTGGTGCTCGTAGCCTGCTTGCTGTGTTCTATTCTTAAATGCTCCAAATTATCACTAGCTTTATATCATTACCCGTCGTAGAATAGGTCGTAGAGTAGGCCATTATAGGCTTCACATGGTGTATCATTCTAGTGCATGTGCATTACACCCTATATCAGGCTATTTTGTAGGCCTTGAGATTACAGCCTGGCGGAAACCTGGGGATGCCGGTGGTTACCAACACTAACCGTCGGCAAGCTTCAAACTAGTTGCAGGTCTAAGGCCTTAATCTAATATTAAAGATAGTTATCTGCTATGTAAATATTATTGAATTCGATGCTTTTTCCTTCTATTGGTCCCTAGAGACCTTACGGGTTATCCCCCCGGTAGTGTACGTTGCACTACCACATCTCCCCCTCCACCGGTTGTGCTTGGAAAGGTGTCCGTCTGCTCACGTGGAGAGAATTGCCATATTAAAGCGGGGATAAAGTTTCTGGACTTGTTTTAGTAAAGAAGGCTTTGGAGGTGTAATCGAATTTCCTAGGTGTGCTCCAGACCACACAGTTGACTTGAGCCGACCAGCCAAGGATATTCTAAAAGCATTGCGAACAAAGTTTCATTACTGGACCTTCCTAGGATACTTCGGTCTTAGGTGGGTACAGTCGTCGCTTTCTATGAGGCAGTAAACTTTTGCTCCTATCGTCAGAAACAGGCTACTGCAGAATACCACTGTAAATATATGACTGAAAGCTCAGTGCCTCGTATTGTTGAGACCCGGTGGTGGGTTGCAAAAGAACTCAAAGGAAGTTGTTTTAACGTGTGTGGTTGAGGCAATTGCCAAAGAGATTCGAGGAGCGAGGTCACTCTTTGTACGCGCCAGTGCGCATCTCGTGGAGCGCTTCTTCGAGAGCCCTGCGAGATTCTTCGTGAGTGGACAAGGCCACAGAAGACATCGATGATACATTCTTTCCACTCTCGTCCATTTGACCTGAAATTGATCGATTTGCTACAGATTAAGAGTCAATTATGTCAAGTTTCCTACTTTGTTCATGATATGCCATGCCCCACATAGCCAGAAGGGCGATGATCGCAATGATGGTTCCCAAGTTAAGCTCAAAGATCCGGTTGGCAGTGAAGAATACGGCTGCAGGAAATATATATTAAGCAGTTAGCAATGGAAGAACTAAATATCGGACTAACCTGGCTCGAGGGCGACAAAGTCACCAACTCCGCAGTATACCGCAATCAACTACGCCAGGTGATGAACTGATATTTTGAATAGAAAATGTGATACTGGCTTACGTTAGTGTAGAAGGATACACCTGAGGCGGCTATGTATGCACAATTGAGGGAAACAATGCGGCATTGCACTTTTCGGCTGTCAGGATCTTCTCTTATTTTGCGGAACACTAGAGACGCTACAACCACGAGGTATCCCAAATAGAGCAGCCCAGCCAACATGACGTTGCCGGTAATGATCCCTGCCAAACCATATCGGTAAGGCATTAAGCTATGTTATTCGTGATGAAAAAGCAAGTGACGTAATGGCTGCCAGTGCCAACTTGCCTTGAAAGTAAGTGGTAGGACATATTGGCCAGCAAGATGCAGTACAGTTTCATGCATGCACACCATGCGAGAGGCTCCTGTGAAGGGGAAGATGCTCTGCAAGTCATAGAAGGAAGGTTTGCTCTAGCTTACTCTTTCCATTCCATGCGTATGTGGAAGGTGGGCTCGAACTTTGTGAAGCTGTTCAACGGAGTCCATGCTTCTCAGTGCAAGCATCATGGCGGCAAGGCCCAAGGCCAAAGACACCGGAATGGCGATGAGTGCTCTCAGGGACAACACTGTGGTTAGTTTTGTACACAGCAAGATTGCTTGCAGCCAAGTATTTTTTTCATACCGTTTTGGAGAATAACAATGCCGGCAGAATGGAAAACAAAGAATGCCGTGCCCAACAGCATCTTTTGGGCGTGGGCAGTTGACCTCCTGAATGTGTACATTAGCTTCTGGCGTGAACCGTCAACCGTCATTTGTGGCTTACCCACTGCGGATGCCTCTGAGGGCTCCGGGGACCTAAATTGTTCAGGAACGTGAATTGATTCTACGCGCTGTACACGGTGTCAAATTTACTTACAAGAATGGCATAAACAAGTGCCTGGACAATCGCATAAAGCATGGACTGGTAAGGACCGGGAGCGATCTCGATGCTGAGACTTGAGAGGGAGGCCGACTTGTAGAACTTGGATTTTGGTGCAAGGGCCACTAGCTGAGTAATGCATACTCCAGTTCATGGAAAACCGAAGTATGCCTGAGTCAAACTTACTGGTGCAACAGAAGCTGCTAGTTCCGCAGCGCGCGCCTCTGCCTGAGAAGTATATTTTTGGTTCCTGAGCTTGGCCCAAGGGTTGTGAAAGCTTCTTACGATCTTCAGTTGTGCGTTTTGGTATGGCTTGACATCAAGCATGCTGACAGAATCGGAGAATGGCTTGACCTGGAGAAAGAAAATCCTTTGCTTGGGTGCAACTAGTAAAGACAAATATGGTTCGAGTATACCTGGTGGGTTATCGGAATCCCAACGAGAGCAGAAAGGCAATCCTCCAATTTAGGTGCAGGCGGAAGGACGTATACATCTTGAACTCGCCTAAGGAGAGATTCCATTAACCTCCATTGGCTTTAAAAAAAACAAGAAGCCATACAAGTTCATTTCCTCGAGAGTTGTGTGATGGGCGGAAGTCACTCCAAACACGTGGCCAACTTCTGGAAGGAGGACATCGATAAACTCAGGCCCTTCCAGAATGTCCGTTGCCCGACTGCTCACAATAGAGCAGGCGGCAACGAGTGCCGCGCCGTAGGCTCTCATGGTTGTAGATGAAATAGTGTATATTGTGAATTCCTAGTACTGAGCCCGGCAAACTGTTCGCTCAAGCAGCAATTCTAGTAGAGCGCGGTTAGACGCACACTCTGTAAGTGCATCATAGGTGTCCGTACACCTGGGCAGTGTACTTCCGTCAGATCAGTGCCCACTTGGCACACCCCGTTTCTTTTGTTGTAGAAAGCGAGTGATGTTCAAGGCTTATCAATCAACTGGTGAGCCTCCGCTCTCGATGATTTCGGCAACTGTTCAAACTAGTGCAGTTCAAACTAACGCAGTTCCATGGTGGTGTAACGGACGTTTGTCTGAACTACCATTTCCTGCACGGTCCACTATACAGGGACACGGCATTGCTTTATATGCAAGAAATGGCAACTTGCAAGTAATTTGAAGTTTGACGATCCTGCTAAAAGTTCCGGGAGTTTCCTGCGGAATCCTGCTACACTCATTGTTCCGAAACTGGAATGCATAGTTTCCTGTTGTGAAGGCAAGATGCTCAAATATTTCCGCCTACAATAGCTGATGGCCTGTCACTCGAAAATCCACTTCCTTGGTCTCGTGTTAATATCAGCTTCTCCAGCATGCGCCAAGTCTGGTGAATGCACAACATGCACAACAGCCAACTGAATCATGCAAGCCGGATGCAATATTCCGCTTGATTATCTGCCTCGTCTCCCCTGGAGTGCGCCGTTCTGCACTTTTAAAACTAAGTACTGAAGCTCACTCGTTTGTCCATTTCTTCCATAAGAATGCATCTTTGTTCCAAAAAAGTTATTTGCTGTCGGGCTTCATGTAATTCACCTTGAACAGCGGCAAGGGTAGCTTCTGCTTCATTCTTTTTTCCTTCGGCATCCTGAAGCAGCAAATATGCTTCGTCGAGTTTTTTCTCCATTGCTTGCATAGCTGTTTTCATTTGTTCTTTCGTCCGCTCACTACCCTGTCCAACAGTGCAAATCAATAAGAAAAACGCAAGGCAAACATATTTCAGTCAAAATGAACAAGGACTTGTGGAACTTCTGCAGTTTAGAGTAGACGGCTGTGTCTACAGCAATTTGCAATTTACTTACTAATAAAACTGAGCTAGCGGTCCATCACTTTGATTCCTTGATAAGAACACTGACATACCTCAGACGTTCGGCACGAGGGGATAATCGCTTCCGGACACTGGCTAGAGTTGCAAACGCCGCCGTTAGTTGCTGACACACATATGAGTTAAACTTTCTAAATATCACCAGCTTGTCATATGGCAACAGTTGTATTTTGTTATGCAATCTGGACAATAAGGGGAAACATTCGGGGAGGGTACTGCAAGGAGCCCTGCTTACGCTCTTCAAAAGTTCCCCTAAAGATTTTGGTTTCTTCAGTATCCAAATTTCCATGCGAACCCGTTGATGATGCTCGTCTGAAAAACACAAAGCAGCAACAGATGGCACATACCTTTGCCAGAAGTACCACATGCCCAGTGCTAAAATGCAGCAAAAGCTATACGTATGCAGAAGAATCATGACGATAGGCTTGAGGCACATCGGAGCCTGTCTAGGTGTCATATTAGCACTGCCACGGTGCTTATACTCAATGCTGCTAAGGGAGAGTTTATTCAAAAAAAGGAACCGAAGTGCTTTCTCATGAAAGTGTGCTACCATTTTTTTCGCAAATTCGACAAACGTTTACTGTGATGAGCATCTTACTGTGCCAGAGCTTTGTTTTCTCTCCTGACGGCATCTAGCTCCTGGCAAATCTGAACAAATGAAGCCAGAACAGGCCAATATGAATGGATTGGCAGTTCCGCCAATGTAGCGCATTAATCTAAATATATAAAACTACTACAGGCTAGGCTAGTGGTTGCTGTTTACCTCTTCAAAAGCATTCTGCAATATGTCAATCTTCGACGACAGCTCTGCGGCCAGGCAATGACAGCACATAATTATAAATCGTTAGACTTGCTAGAAGAATGGTCCTTGAGTTGCAGAGAAAGAACCATCCAGCACTGGCAACACTCGCTTGATAGACATTTTGTCCGCTGCAGTTGGCGAGTAAGATGAATAAAGATAATCTTTTTAATTCCTAGATGGCCCCAACAGTTAACCTAGCTTGCGCTAGTTATCCTGTTAGAATTATCTCCCTAAAATGATGACTCTTATAAGAAGATAAGAAGATCCTTCAACTTCTTACCTTCTTGCATCTCCAAAACATCTGAGGTTTCTGTCTCTGCGTCTATCATAGCCTGTGTCTGCACCTGCAGCGAAAGGCACATCTATTGACTTATGTTCCCTTATAACACAAAACAAACAGATACAACCCCTTAGTAAATGCATTTCTCTATTCAATATATATATATATATACAAGTTCTTTAGCCAGTGGGTCTCACCAGCAATGCCTTAAAGAAGAGCTCCGCCTGAAACTGCAGATGTACAAAAGAAGAAGAAACAACAAGGCAAAGAAAGTAAACAAGTGATTAAAATGAGTAGTTTATAAGGACAAATTAATTTTTATTTAATTTAATATAAAAATATTAGTAAGAAAGGACATAAGCATCCCCCTACCTACCTTGCTACCATTTTGAGTTTCAGCAGCATCTAGGGGTTGGATGTCATAAACTGCATTTTCTTCTTCCTTCTCCTCCTCCTTCCCTTCCTCATATAAAGGAATATCTTCCCTTTTCTCCTCTGTATCTATAGATGTATTACTTTCCTTTAATTGCTTCCCTAAGGGGCTATTATTATCTGCCTCCTCCTGTGCAACAACAACTGTAGCCGTAGTAGAAATAGTACGGCTTCCTCCGTCGCATGCAGGGGAGGAGCATTCCTCCTTTTCTTTAGTGTCTATAAGACAATTACTTCTTATCTTCCATCCTTTAGACCCAAGATAAGCTGCTGCATCTGCTAATGAAGTATTTGAACGAACAGCAGCAGCAGCAGCTGCAGCAGCAGCAGCAGCAGCAGGATGTTTTAATTCCCTGTGATCCCTTAATTCTGACTGTGTATCATCAATACCAACAGCATCTGCATGCGTTTCTTCAGATGCCTGCTGTTGCTGCTGCTGTTGCTGCTGCTGATTTAATATGTTAGATATCCCTTTATCTGCAGAGGATTGCCTCCTATTAGTATCTGCTGCTGTACAAGAATGTGAGGACTGCAAGACTTCTTCCTTCTTGCTATTTGCACTTCCTTTTTTCCCCTTTGCCTTTTCTTTTTCTCTTTTTGCTAGTATCTGTTGATTTATACTCTTATTCGTTATAGCAAGCAGAGAGTCTTCTTCCCCTTGCTGCGAGTCACTCATCTGCGCTGCTGCTGATGTGCTGCTGCTGCTGCTGCTGTTGTCTTCTGCTGTATCCTCTCCAGTTGGCTTAAAGGAAACTCTGGATAGATTGGGCTCCCCGCTGTAGCTGCTGCTGCTGCTGCTTCTTTCTGCAGCAGATGGTGTGTGCAGCGCCTCTGTTGCATGCGCATGCACAGGGTAGAGTTCAGCAGATCCGTTTTCTGCTGACTCAAGGGATGAGTCTGTCTGTTGTTGACTTGCACCAGCAGCAGCAGGAGAAGCAGCAGGAGCAGCAGCAGGAAGAGAAGAAGAAAAAGAAGCACGAGATGCAACAATAGCTCTAGATAATTCAAATTTTTCCTTTAATACAAAAGATAAATCAGATTCTTTCTTAGCCACCGCCCCTTCAAGAGAACGAATCAAATCCTCACGATGGCGTAGTACACCTTCTAGTTCACGTAACTGGTAACATATAACATATAACATAAATAAATAGCAAAATAATAAATATTATTTATAATAATATTTTATATTGTTATATATATATATGTGTTATTGTTTTTTATTGTATATCTTATAATAACTATAAGGAGGATGCTGTTAGACACAATTACGCAGCTTACTACACACAGACCAGGGTCCTATACTAAGAGGCACTCATTATATCTCTATAGAACAATAAACGCTATTTCTTCTTGTGTATTATATTTAGATAAACCCTAAACCCTTTCTTTATGCCTATTAGAGGGCTCTTTATCTAAGGAAACCACTACTCATGAAGACAATACAACAACCATCAATTAATTACCTTCTTCTCTGATGCTGCAGCTGCAGAGGATGTTGAAGGTGTCGCACCAACTTGCATATGACGGAGAACTGTCCTTGTATTAGGTGCTTGTGTTGATCCTTCTCTGCAGCAGACACGGCAAATATCATGTAGAAAAGGAGTTAGGTAGCTGCAGCATTATACAACTAAGTCTCCACAGAGGCATAAAGATCGCCGCAGCAACAGTAACAACAGCCGCAACAACAGCAGCAAAAGCAATTGTATAATCACAGTAAACAGCAGCGTCAGTATTGTCATTGTCAATAGAAGTTTCAACAGGAGCAGCCGATGCCGCCGATTGGTTCTCCTCATTGCAAGAAGGACGGACTGCTGCTTTGATTCAAAAGTCTTCAATTTCTCCTTTACACTTCCATTTAAATTAGGAGGAAGAAGAGTTGTTTGTGTATTTCCTTCTCCTGGTTTCTTGCGGTCTATGGTACAGCGGGCTTTCTCTGTTCTTGTTGACTCCGGTCGCTGCTGCATGTTGAATGAAGGCCACCAAGCAGAAGAAAAGAATAAGAAAGCTTGCAGCTAGCAGAGGAAAAATGAAGGAAAAACTAAAAACTATCTATAAAAATAAAAAATAGGTTTAAAATATTTTCTAATATAACCCCTGTACCCTTTCTTGCCTCTATCGACATCCGATCTCATGAGAGAAGTCCGTCGTGACGGCGGAAAGCAGAAGGAAAGCGCCCTCTCTGCCACAAAAAGAGATGTAAAAAGGCAGAAAAATTCAATTATTCATTTTAATTATGCAGTGTTAAAATATAAGGCTTGAGGAGATACATAATAAAGACAAACAAAGACAAAAGAGGAACCTCAATCACCGACCGCCGGGCCTGTCTGTCTCGGAGTGTGAATACAACTACACAACATAGTAGGGATATGAAGATGTAGCTGATGAAGGAATAACTTAATAGTGTTGCCTCCTTTATAATTATTCTGTACATAAAGAAGAACAGTTATTGAATAATGTAAACAACTAAGAGAATTTCTTCTAAATTTAGCTGCATTATAACAGGCTATAGAGAAAATATGTTCAAGTTCGAGGAAGGCGTTCCGCTCTTAGTACGTAAGAAACACACACAGAGGGTTTGCATGCGTAAATTGGAGGTAAAAAACACACAATGATAAAACAATCAACGTCTTTAATAAACAAAAGGTAAGAATATTTAATTTGTTTTATTTAAATAATATTCTTTCCCTCTAAAAAGATGGTTAGCATGCATATAAGCAACCTCAACCACCCCCAGTAGTAAGAAACGTACCGTATTACCAACAACCATCCGTGGGACTGCAGCCT